GCGTTTGTATAGAGGCATCTGAGCCGAGCTCTAAATAAAGCCCACTCAATGGCTGGAGCAGCTGAAATCTCTCTGCATCGCTCCAAGCACTTATTATAGGTGCTGGCAACTGACCAGGAGTGTTGGGATGGATCGATGCCCCCCTCCCCCAACACACCTAGTTTAAAGCTTTCTTGACCAGCCTGGCAAGTTTCCCTGGATTAATTCTACTGTTGTCTGCCTTGAGTAACTGCCTTTGGTATTAAAGTACTGCAGAATAACCTGTTAGTCATCAGTGTTTCTCTTTGGAGCCATGTCCCAGGCCTTAGCAGAGCAGGTTTTGCATACTGCTTGGTGTGAAACGGAAATTCCCTTAAAAGAAGAAATTGGTATTACACAACAAAATCCATAATTCCAAGGCAGCTGTGAACAGAAAACTAGAACAATGGTTGCTACAGAAGTTACTTCAGTATCTCTTATCTCTGAATTACGTCTCCAACACACTCCTTGGAAACTTTAAACTTAACTGCTTTCAGTTTAATGAGCTCCTTTGAAAAGAAAAAGAAAAGTCTTTTGTTGCCAATGCGGTGAATGTGTTTGTACCAGTTAGAAGTAATAACTGAATCAAGATATATGTAGATAAAAAGCAATGTGAATGCATGTACGGGCATTACACACCTTAGAAAAGGCCAAATTCCCATCCTTAGTTTAGTTTCTTTCCTGGTGAGTAGATATATCGATTAATAGAGAAAGATACTAATCCACTTACAGGTGGCAGCATTGTGGCTTTAATTATTACAGAACTCTCGCTGTAACTGAGTTTTTCACTGAAGTAGAACTTGGGAAAATAGAGAAGCGTAAATGCTTCACTGACAGCAGATTAAAAATTGTTTTATTAGCTTTAATAAAGATCGGTATTGTCAAGGTTTTGAGTAAGTATAAATGTAAGGCTGCATTAAATGTGTTTTAAATTTCATTTCAGAAATGCCTGCAGTTTGAATCATATACAGTGGTGGAGGGACAGGAACAGAAATACTAAAAAGGATCAGTTAGATGAACTATGATCTATCTGGGACATGAGTGCACTAGAGAGTTTTAGGATAGGAGCAGATTCTGGGTGATGTTACTTGATGAAACTCTCATTCAGTTGTCCAAACTGTAAACCTTTACCTGCACATGCTGAGCATATAAAGCATGTGTTAAATTCTGTTGAGCTATTCTCTTCAAAGCCCATATTAATTTTTTCCTAGCATTTTAAGCGCAGAGTTTATATTTGGGTAAAAGGCATTTGTGAAAAAGTATTCTTCAAAATACATTGCAATGGTTGTAAAAGATTCCCTTCATGGTGGTTTCAGAAATTGTCTTTTTATCTTTAGATTCCAGCTGTTTCCTTTTAACTATTACTGAAATGGTAAAACATGGTGTGTTTGAGATATTTTGATCTTTTCAGGAATTATATTTACTTTTTTCTTTTTCTTCTCCAACCCTGTTTCTGTAGGAAGAATCTTAAATCGTTTCTCTAAAGATATTGGCCACCTGGATGACTTGCTTCCATTGACATTTTTGGACTTTGTGCAGGTAATTCTGTTGCTCCTGTCAGAGACTTCTGCACTGCATTCTGAATTTAGATTCCTGTATGCTTTGGTGAAGATCAGCTATTTGTCACAGATGTAGCTGAGTTGGAAGAAAGTACTTGTTTGTGAAAGAAAGGTGCGGTTGAAATTTAATGTGTCGGTAAAAAGCTAACATGAGTAATAACTGACAGGTAGGAGTGGCTATACACAGCTTGCTATTATGTCAGGATTTCAGTTCATAGTAGCTACATGCTTGGTAAATTGCTCCTGATTTGCCTTCAAGCAACCTGGCAGGCTTACTGCTGTTATAAGAAATATGTCCATAGTAAAGAAACAATCAACTCGCATGAAAAGATAGCACAGATTAACCTAATTAAATGTCTACTTCCACAAAGAATCAAATGCTTACCACACCATTTTGGATTAAAATAGGTGTGGCTATTTACAAAGAAAAGATTAGTAGTAATAGGGTGAATATAATAGCCTTAATAGGAACAAGTGAAATAAGTTGCAGCAGACAAGAAAGATGGACAAAGCACTCAGATTTTGGTGATGATGAAAGGATAGAGTATTACATGTGACATCAAGGTAATTTTTCTGTTGCAGCTGCTATTTAACCTCCTTGTAAAAAAAAAATGTGGAAGGATAAAGCTGAAAAAAGAATTTGAGCGTACTGTATGAAAATAACATGAATCACACACAATCATGGAGTCTAGAGAAAGCAGTGACTTAGATCCACTTAGTGGATCAGACCTGTCATGGTCAAGTCAGAAAGGTTTCTTAAGGTACTATTGCTAACTTCTCTTTGTCTCTTAGAGATAACTTATTCAGGATGTAAACCTTGTTTAAAAATAAACCAAAGACATTGTGGGTTAAGCAGTTTAGTCATGTTAATGCTGAACTCTTGAAAATAGGAAAGAAAAAAAAGATGTTCCATGGAGTGAGTTAAAAACACTTCTTAAGGTTTTTTCCTAGTTTAGTTAAGTTGTTAAAGTTAAGATGTGCATTTATTTTTCAAACCATTACAGTGCCGCGTATCATTTTTGGGGAAGAAAGGAAAGTGATGTGTTTTATCTGTCAGTTAAACTGACTGTGGTTTTTTATGAGTTAGGGAGTTGTTTGTTGTGAATATCAAGATTTTGAGTTCATGGGCTTTTAAGGCCCTGAAAGTACAATATAAACATCTTTCTATAATATACCACTTGTTTTCTACTGGTTGTACAGATTGAACATTTTCTTCAGTCTCTGTCTTATTAGACAGAATATTTTACTTTATTTTAGGTCTCTTGGGATAATACATATGTGCCTTTATTTTTCTGGCCAGAAGTGCAGGCTGTCCTGCAATCCTTATCCTCTTCTCTTAGCACAGGATTTACATCCACAAAGTCAAAACCATCTCTTTTGCATAGTGCTCCTTGGCTGTTAGACCAAGCAATGCAGAGGGGTTTGTCCCCTTTACGGCAGACTGCACTGTGTATGTTCACGCTACTCATGGCCAGAGCATCCTTCGGATGCTGTGGTTTTGAGATAAAATGATTAACCCTTTTCCTTAGTTCTGTGCATTTTCGGTAAAGTGAGAGTTGTGTTGCAGCCCACTTGCACGGTGTTTTCTTAGCAAGAAACTGAGTGGGTGTTCTGCATGCCCTGGCATGTGGTTTAAAGGCATGTGGGGTTGTCTGAGGATGCAGGATTTGCTGGGAAAATACTAGAGAAGTCTGCATAAGCAGAGGGAGACAAAATTGATGTGGTCTTGTCCATACTTCCTTTTGAGAGGAAACCCTGAAGCAAACTGTCTTGAGAATTACACTCTTTTCTTTTTCTGAGGGAACCAACTGGTTTGCTCCAAAAGCAAACTAAGGGAGGAGCTAACCTTTGTGCAAGGCACATACAGGTGACTGAATCATCTACTAGCAGATTGGAAAACTTAGTTATTTGACCAGTGTATAGATACTTTAGGCAGTATATGCTTACCAAAACTTAACTAGTTTGGGATGAAAGAACGAAGGCTGTTGCTCTCGATGTGACTGTTTTCTTCTTCCAGGCTCCTACTGTAATCTGCATTTTTGTAAACTTTTCCCCTCATGTTGATTAGTTTTTGCATTTCTTTTAAATTGGCTTTTGAATTATTTCTCAATTCCAAACTTTGAATTCTGAGTGAGAAGTTTTCCTTTTTAAAAAAATGAAGAAGATGTTACATGTCCAGTACACTGTTAAAAAGATACTATGCTTCAAAGCTTACCTGTTTGGCATCAGAAAAGAAAATTTAGGAACTTACTGTTGATTAATAATGCACTGCTATCCATAAGACAAAAGCACTTCCTTCTTGGCAGGTTTCCTCAAACTCACTGTTCTTGATCAACAGGCTTGTTGGTTAGTGGATGTCTTTTGAAATTCAATAGCAAAGATATATTTATTTCTGAAGAAGCATAGATTTTTACAAAGGATAACTGTTATCAATTATGATAGAGATCTTTTGTCACTTGTTTTGTTTGCAGGTGTCTTTTATAAGACTTCATAATCCCTTCAGGAAGAAATATTTTCTCCTTTCTAAAAACAGTATTAGCTAAATATAAAAGCTCTGATCCTAGCCATTGTTGCTGATTCTTTGAGAGACATTTCCCAACATTCATTGTTTAAATGGTTGTCAGGAGAAATCAAGTGAAACTTAATAAACAATGCAGTAACTGGTTCATCTTACTTTGTGTGTAGAAGCTTTTCTTGAGCGGATTTGCATTGAAGAAGTGGTCGTTTTTCTGAGTTACTGCTAAGATCATTGTGAAGCATTCCACCCTTTTACTATATTGGCAAGTGAGCGTATAATTTCTGCACAGATAAACACAGTGCAGTTGGACACCCAAAACCTACAAGATGAGCCCATTTAAATACCTACAAATAAATAAATAAAATCTTCTAGTTTTGAAATTTTGTAATTGCACTGAGTAGAGATTTTAAGGCAATGCTAAAAATTGATAATGTTCTTTTTAGAGTGCTTAATAAGATTTCTACACTGCACTGCAGTCATAATGAGCATGATGAGTCTAGACAGCTATACTGGATGAAAATTAATTCCTTGAACTAAGAGTTGAATTTTTTGCATCTTCCGTTGAGTCAATGAAGAAGAAACAGTTCTCTTCAAGACAGTAGATAGTTACTGTACACTTAATTGTTACAGCAAAAATAAAAGGTATGTGGAAAGCACAAAAATTCACGATAGACCTTGTGTATTCTGTAAACCTGTCTAGAGTTTGCAAAACTGTTGCTTTGCAATAACTCCTGAAGTAGCAACTCTCACTGCCTTTAAAGTTGAATGCCATCCTTGCTTTCTCGGCTCTTAAGTGCACCAAAATATAGCACACCTACTTTGAAGAGGCTGGGGGCAGGAGGGGCAGTCGTCACTAGAACAAGGCAGTCATTTTTTTCTTCTTAACTTATGAATTTCAACAGTATATGAGACATGTCATGTTAGTGCAGTTGACTGTCTTTTTTGTAGAAATTACTGCTATAGCCACAAGATTTATAAATACAAAATAAGTCTCTTTTATGAGAACACATTTGTGGCTATGTTCGACTACATGGCTGTTGAACAGAACTCTGTGGGTAGATGTGAAGTATAGAAACTGAAAAGAAACTGAAGCTGGGTTTTTCGACTGGGATTATCTTTGGTTGTACGCTTACAGTCCAGTTCAAAAGTCATTGAAATAAAAAATGCACTTTACAGTCTGCAGCCTAAGCCTGAGTCTTGTCTTCTGTAATGGAGTGTGCCTAGCTGTGAAGTTCTGTACCAGATCTCCTAAAAAATAAAACAAAAAGCAAGGCTATGTTCACTTACTTTGCTCAGTATGTTTGTAAATCAGGCAGTAATTAATGTTTGTGGGTTGATTCAGATAGTCAGAAAGCTGAATGAACTTGTTTGGTGAAGATGGTGTTTGCGTTTCTTTGTGAACTAACTATTTTTAGTTACTTGTCATAGTACTGTTAGCCTCAGTTCTGCATCTTGCTTGCTTTTTTCTGAGTTAAGGATTTTTGGCAGGTGTTTTCCAACTAAGTTACCATCTCCTCAGGGGAAGGGTCACTTGTGTGAAGGCCATCACAGTGCTTTAAAACTTTCTAAGAGGACTTAAAAATCTACTGCATGTAGATACGTGTGCTTTATTTGTGTATTTGTTAGTTTAATCAGAGGGCAGGCGTCAAAGAGCTACCCAAATAATTGCAGAAATGCTCTCTTTACTTGTTACAAACTTGATCATCCTATGAGTAAGTCCAAAGGGAGTTAAGGAAGTCAGGGGCCATTTAAGACAACTGGGATTTTGTTACTTAATTTCTTCTCTGAAAATACCAGCTGATTTACTCAGTGTTATAACCAACTGTTGTTCCTCCTCCTGCCTTAAGCTCTGTGGGAGTACAAGGTTCTGTTGATGTGGACTTCACTGGTAGGTGTGGGGCTTGTAGTTTAAAATATCCTGGTTAAAATGCATAGCAATGTCTAGCTCAAAGCAGCACTAATAAAACACACTATATAAATTTGGGAAAAGGTCAGCTGAAGAACAGAATAAAAGAATTTAACAGGGAAGTATCAGGAATTAAGAATCCAGTATCCTTAACAGTATTTTATGTACATTAGCCTGGATGTTCCTAAGTGGCCAGTATTTTGGATGCCCTATTTTTGAGAACTCATCAAAATGAGGCTTGTTTTTAGTCCCCGAATCACACTTTGACTTGAGATAGATCTGCAGAGGCTTAACATCTTTAAATAGTGGTCTTGGGTGATGCAGGATGAGTACTCAAACTGATAAAACTACATGTTGAAAATTATATGTGTAAACTGATTGAATATGTAGGACACTGAAATATATTTCAGACTTTCTTTTGGTTTTGTTAATTATTGTGATAAATTTTAAAGGGATGGTTTTCTCTTTAGTTTCTTGCCCTTTTAGTTCTTCAGTGATATTATTATTTGTTAACAGAGTTGATTTTCTGCTTTTGTTTTCAGTGAATTTGAGTAAC